TAATTTTTTATGACACGCAATAACTTCCAAACCATTATTCCTTTGTTTTTTGTTTTTAAAATTTTAACCAAAATTTTAAACTTTATAATCAATATTTATTAGTAACACTCTTTAAAAACAAAAAATTAAACAATCTTTTATAGCCCACTCAAAATTTCCTAACTAGAATTTGTGCATTTATAAAACCCGCACACTTTATAACGATCATTGAAATTGGTGGCGGAAATCGAACCGAACAACAACAACAAGAAAACCAACTGCGGTGACCGGTTAATGCAATAAAAACTTTGCTGCATGCCATAAACAATAGAATATATGAAAAGACAAAAGCATTAACAATAACAAAAGCAAAGAAAATCAAGCTGATGATTTCCGTTATGTTGCGGCGGTAGCAAGCGTCAATAGCGAAACGGGAATCGTGRCGTGTCCTGTTTACATTTCGACTATTTCGGTCTGCCGCGACTGCGTATACACGTGTGATTYTTGTAGCAACCAAAACAACATACACACACATTTCTGTGACACTGCTCTACAGCTGTGCATATAAGTATGAGTGTGTGTGTGGCCGAGTACACAAACACAATGCTAACATCAATACAATACTCACTTCCGACAGTTATTTGAGCTGGAAAAATTATGAAACCACACAAACGAGCAAACAGACAAATACATTTATAGAGTCGAATAAACTTTTGGAGTGGTCTGCAGTGCCAGCGAAGCTTAAAGGTTCAATAAATTGGTCAAAGTCTTTAATAGATAATATTTAGTGCTTTATAGCTTTCAACTTATAATATGGATCCATGTTAACTTACTTTCAAAACGCTTGACAATGCCATTTCGTCTCGGCAAAGGCTCTGAAAGAGTCTCTAAATATGCAAAAGGTAAATATATAAAAATAATGTAATATTTGTTTTAATCTCACTTAAGCTGTATCCCTAAAATTTTCAATTCAATATCGATTGCAGCTAACTTGTAAAATTTTTGTAATTTTTGTCCATTCTTTAAATGCTTTTGAGTACCAAAGGGTAGCTTATCAATAAACATCAGAGAAAGATATCCGAAAGGTCTTCGAATAGCTCTCCGGTTTGAAGAAATTTTGCTTTATCTACTGGCTACTAGAACAGGAGTCATATACACGTAGATAGTGAGAAGTCAGATCTCTAGTAACTGTAACTAGTAGTTTAGATTATGCTATATTATAGGATCTACAGAACAATAAACTCTTAATCAGTTTATTTATACYATTCACATTGCACAATGCACAATAATGTAGAGAAGAAAATTTCATAAGTCWGAGCCTTTTTGTGAAACTAAAATAAAAATTTTGCAGGATCTTACTCAAATGTACACTAAGTAAATCTTAAGGTAAGAGTCTAATAKGGGAGGATGGTGCCATGTGTAGAAGTYTACGCAAGTRCGAAAAGCTCTCTGCGTGCTATTCACTTGGGTGATGCCAGAAACCATTATTTTACATATGTCTCAAGCGGCTCACTACTTTTGGTCTTAGACCAAGTATCCTCAGTATGTCAAAAAACATCCGAGTGAAGGCGAGCTACAGTAAGAGACGAAATATCTCTGCCCATGGCGGGGCGCAGGGTTTGGAACCCACCACATAAAAAACACCCTCAATGAAAAGGTCACTTTAACTTCTGATTAATCAAATAAACAGTCGTCGCATTCGCTCCAACGTTACTGGTGGCAGTCATAACTTCAAAGTCGTAGATGATTTCGTTTTTCTTGGAACCAGCCTACCTTTACTACGTTCCCTCATTATACAATGTACCATCAGTCCATAATTAAATTTTTCTGCGTATATGGCAAAAACTAGAATATTCTATTTCAGCTCCCCAGTCGACTTCTATTTGARTCTCTTTTAAACTTACTGTCTTACACAAAGTTATTTGTCACCGTGTTCAATAAGTACATCAATTTTTCCAGGTTTTCCTATTTATCTTGGGACATGTACCAAATTGAATAGTACTCTAGGTCTGTGGCTACCTGAAAGGTCCATATGGATTTTATGAGCAGTTTGTTTACAATCCAAAAATACCAGGGGATTATATGCYTAACGAGAAAGCTTCAATAGATTACTGAAGCGTACAATTTGTTCACTTCTTCTCGATCTCGATCCTTTCTCGATCTTGTCAATGTGTCACGTCAAATGAGTAAGTTGAAGCAAGTTTCCACATGGACTATTAAATAAAGTGTAAAAGAATTAAATACGAGTTGCACATTTGTGAAAAGATGGTCTC